AAATTTCTTTATGTTCGGGTAGAACCTTTTCATGTATAAGTTACGTAATAAATTTTGTTTTTTTTTTAATTCGTGAACCCAAAGCACTAATGTAACTTATTTTAAATTTATTATTTATATATATCTTTTAAAATAACAGTACATATGACAAAACACTCTTGAGTAGTAAATACGAGGAAAATAATTTAGAAAACTGATTGAGTTAACGACTTTTTTAAAAAAGAAAAAGAGCATAATATGTAAATAAAATATAGAAACTTGATTAACTTCGAATTCCACGAAAATCAAATTCTCATCTACAAAAAAAAATGGATTATATAAAGATCGAGATTAATAAACATCTCACTTCTTACAAATACATGTCCTTTTTTTTTACAAAAGAGAGAATTGATAGTTAATGATCAATCTTTAAACTGTTTATTGATATACACTATACAGTAACTTCAGAGTCATTACTTGTTGGCTTATTATTACTCATTGAATGCATAGAAGCATCAACATCATTCTAGAGACAAGAAGAAGTGATATCAGATACTGATAATCATCATAGGTTAATTACAAACACTGGTATGTGAAATTCTGTGTAGTGGGATAAACATAAGCATAATTAGTGGCAAGAGCAGTGGTATGAGAAACAACTTGAAGAGTTGATCTATATTGAAAATGTGTTTTTATATGTTGTCAAAGTAGTTTTCATTTTTAGTTTGAATAAGTTAATTAATTATTTGATAAAAATATGTTATTGTGTTGTTTAGAGTTACATTATTTCCTTGTTTTGTTGCTTTTCTTTATCTTAACACTAAAACCAACAATTGGTATCAAGAGTCTTTCTTCTTAAGGGATGACTTAGATTGTGAACCTATCATATAAACTCCAAAAAAACTAGAATGAATATGCAAACTAAAAACTTAGTTGTTGCACCTCCGGTTTTCAATGGAGAAAATTACCAAATTTGAGAACTTAAGATGCAATCCTGTTTAGAAGTTATAGATCTTTAGGAAGTTGTGTCAAACAACCCTACAATTTGTCAAATTAAAATTCATAAAGAATAAAAGCAAAGGAAAGCAAAGATCAAAGCGTGTTCATTCAATGTTGTATCACAAAGGTTTTTCACTAAAATCATGGTGATGAAGTCAACTAAAAAGATATGGGATTTTCTCAAAAAGGAATATGAAGAAGATGAGAGGGTCAAAGGGATGAAAGCTCTCAACTTGATCAAGGAGTTTGAAATGCAAATCGAGTTAGATTGTTTGGCCCAAAGTTTGAATACTCTATAATTATCCAAAAAATTCTATTTACAGTTCCTGAAAGATTTGAGTCCACAATCTTTTCTTTAGAGACTTCTAAAGATTTGACAATTATTTTCTTGGTAGAAGTGTTGAGTGCTTTACAAGTTCAAGAGCAAAGAAGACTCATGAGACAAGAAAGCACAATTGAAGGATCTTTGTAGGCAAAATTGTAGATCAATCAAAGAACAAAATAAAAGAAGAAAAGGAGTGAAGATCACGAAGAAAGTTCAGAAGATAGATCAAGATATCTACCATGTCGACACTAGGGAAAGAAAGGTTATCCTCCATTTAGATGTTGGAGAAGACTTGATGCTAAGTGTAGTGAGTGTAATCAAATTGGGCATGAAATTTTTATATGCAAAAATAAGAATCAACCACATGGTGAAAAGGCAAAGGCTGCCAAATCAAGAGGAGGAGGATGACTTGTTTGTTGCCACATGTTTTTCTAGCATGGAATCAAATTAGAAATTGGCTTATTGACAGTACTTGCACTAATCACATGACAAACAATAAAAATCTATCCAAGGAACTAAGCAATGCAAGCACATCAAAGGTTCGGGTTGGAAATCACAAGTACATTATTGTGAATGGAAAAGGAACAGTAGCAATCTCAACCTACTCAAATACAAAATTCATTTTTGATGCATTGTATGTTCCTGAAAATAATCAAAATTTGTTGAGTGCTGGACATCTAGTTGAGAAAGGTTATAAAGTGTTTTTTGAAAACAAAAGTTACTTGATTAAAGATGAAACTGACAAAGATATTTTCAAAGCAAAAATGAGAGGTAAAAGTTTTGCTTTAAATGTATTGGAGGAGGAGCTACTGCAAATTGTTTTTCCAGTAAAAGAGAATACCATTGGATTATGGAACAACAAGCAAGGTGCTAAAGAAGAATAAGTTAGTTTTGAAATACCAGTTCCCAAGTCCTAGAGTGGTAACGTTGAAGAAAAATTGGTAACAACAAAGGAATAAATTCAGTTGGCTAAAGAGGAAGCAAGTAACTAAAGGCAAAAGTATGATATCACCATCAAAGAATGCTTTAGAGAAAGTAACAATTATGCAGGAGTGCACAAACAAGCAGGTGTAGTTAAGGGAAAATGCTTTAAGAAATTTTTTTTCTAAAACTTTAGCTAGAAAAGAAGATGAAATAAAGGAGAAAATTGCAAAAATTGAGCATGGTGAGAGATGTTTAAAAATTCTTAATTTAGATTTGAAGGCTGCTAAATCAAAGATATGAGATGATACAAAAATATTGTCAACAAGGTTTGAAATTAAAAAGTTGACTAAAAAATTGAAAGTTGAAAGTTCTAAGGCTCAATCATATGAGAAGGAAGCAATATTATTTCGATATAACTCTTCAACAACGAAAAATTGGAGTGCTAATGACTTCACAAAGTCATTCTAAATCAATGAGTTAAATTTTGAAGGATAAAGATAGGAGGTTGCAGCCTCCAAGGCAAAGAGGAATGTTGAAAATGTGTTTTTAAATGTTGTCAAAGTAGTTTTGATTTTTAGTTTGAACAAGTCAATTAGTTATATGATAAAAATATTTTATTTGTGTTGTTAGTAGATCAATTAGTTTAAGTTATTATCAAAAACTCACAAAATCATGAAGTATGATTTTTTATTCGGTTATTTCAATATATTTAAATATAAGTCATATTCAATAAAATAAGGTACGTTTTACATTAAAAAATTTAGTTACATTATTTCGTTACTCTATTTTTTTTTCCCTATCCTAAGAATAAAACCAACAAGAGAAGTCATGCTTGAAATAACATGACTCAATAGTATAACTTGTGCGATGACAATGAGTGGGTCACATTTATGTGTCTTGAATTAAATTTGTCTTTACTCTTTTGATATGGGTAACCTCTACTTATTATCAACTAAACAAAATTAACATATTCCATTTTACTAGCTAATATTCCCTCTCACTCTCTCCCCACATATTGTCAATAGTAATGATTTTTCTTCGACTAAAGATAATGCACTTTCATACACAAATTGTATAATTTATTTATAAAGAGAAATTACAATGACAATAATAAAGTTTGAACTTAAAACATTATACATATTATATAACCTTTCAACATGATCCTAGTGGTTCAACAAATTTCATAACTATATTGTTAATTAAAAAATAAAAATTGTAACTACTCTTTAAAAATAGCAATTAAGATTTTAATAATTACATTATCTATTATACTTGTATATATTTTTCTTATATTATAACTAACTATTTTTTAATCAATGAATGCAATTGCACTTTATTCTTTATATTGCATTTCTTATTTTAAAGGAATTAAATAAAGCCTTGATTTTCTGCACATGATTGCCAAATTTGAAGAATTTTTTTTTTTGGCTTTGTATTCATTATTTAAAAATGTGATTATTTATTAAATACTTATTATTTATTTGTTTTTCCTATGAGGAAATGGCTCATTGGCTTTGTATGAATTATTTTTTCTTAACTTTTTCATTCAACTTAAATTTTAATGCGTTGTGGGTTTGAGCAGCTTAAGCTACAAAAATGCTATTTCCAAATTTATGTCTTATCCGGTTGTACACCCATTAACCAAAATCAAAATTTTGACAGCACCTTTCTAATAATCATTACGACAGCTTTTGATGCTCCAACTCCAACCAGTAATGAGACATCATATGTGACCACCAATTGGCTTGCGCGGGACAGGATCATATACACAAAATCCCACTATTCAAGATTCAATTAAACACAGCTTCGTGGAGGTTCCACTTCAAATACTCGTTACTGTTCAGTGTTCACTCTGTTTTTTATCACAAAAAAAAAAAAAAAACTCTGCTGGATGAAAACTCATGATTAAGGAGAACTCATAAAATGGATAGCATTTCATTCATTCATAAAAATTATGATGACGGAAAAGGAAGACAAAATGTAATATTTGAGTTTTATATTTTAAGTCCCAAAAAACATCGATTTTTTTAGTCTGATCAAATTATGTCTTAAATACAGGTTTAATCCAATAAACCAAGTAAATGCTCGAAAAAACTGAACTTATTTAGGTTTGGGCATTATTTATGTAGCCCAAAAGTTGAAATTTTCTTTTGGCCTATTTTAATATAGCTCAACAACCAGCATAGGATTCGCATAACTCGTTTTGTCAAACCCTCTAAATTAAGGAAAATGTTTTGTAAGAAGTGAAGAAACGGAAAAACATTGAGACAAAACAAAATTGAAAACTTGTGAGAGGCTCTGCAATAGAGTGTGACATGTCACATTCCACGACTGTGAAATGTAAGTGGTGTGATTTTAAAGGTTTACAAAACGTACAATTACCTTTTCTGTTGTTTCTATAAAATAAGCCCACATGTACAAAAATCTATAGGATCAACTCTCAAGAGAGAGCATATTAAAATTGAGGCCTGAAAGACAACATTTTATGTAAGTGGTGATCACGAATTAGGCTTTGTCCAATTTGGTTGACCAAGGTACGAGGATTTGAGTGATTTGCACGAGGGCATGACGTGAGAACAACCACTACAACTACAAGCCAAATACATTTTGAGCCAAGATTTCAGATATTAGAAAAAAGAAACAAGAACCAAAATACGAGCTTTCCACTAACTGAAATTTAACCTATGATATTTTTCTAAGCCTCACATCACATCTATCTATATATATCTTTATGTTATGCCTAAACTTGCAAATTGCACTTGTATCAATGGTTATGGAATATCAAGACCAAAAGGCCAAGGAAGGAAGATTCTATGAGAAACTCAAGATCAAGAACAAGCCAAAGTTTGTTGGAGTGAGACAAAGGGCTTCAGGGAAATGGGCAGCAGAAATCAAAGACACATCAAAGAAGATTAGGATGTGGCTTGGAACTTATCAAACTGCTGAAGAAGCTGCTCGAGCCTATGATGAAGCTGCATGCCTCCTTCGAGGTTCAAACACTCGCACCAACTTTTCTACTCATGAATATGCCAATGCTACAAACTCTCCTATATATCTCAAACTCAGAAACCTCCTTGATCGAAAAGCCATGCCAAATCAAGTTCAAATTCAAAACAATTCCCCTATGATAAGTGCCACTTTCCAAGGTGCACCTAGTGGTAGTACTAGTACCATGAATAACATCATGGTCATGGAAGATAACTTTGCTAGTAGTAGTGAAGGTAAGTCTTTGCTTTTGCTTCAGAATCAAGTCTCTGATGATAACATGTGTGGATTTGATATGAATATGTTCAACTGTTCAATGGGAATCACATCAAATATGTCGCACTTTGATTATTCATGGCCATTAGCCCAACAAAGGAGTAACGAATTACCAATAGCAAAAGATGGTTTGAATGAGTGGCATGTGGAGGATACATATGAATATGATGTCAATTATCCTCTGTCACACTTTTTTTGCTTCACTTGATAATTGATATCTGTGTTTTTCTCTCTTCTTTATACACGTGAGAATGAGGGTTCTGAAAAATTAATCATGCTTTCTAGTTGCACAGACTTGGCTGTACTCAGTATATTCTTTAGTTTGTATAATATTTATTTATTACCTTGTTTTCATGTCATTTTCCCTGAGAGGGTAAATCAAGACAAGAGTAATTGATTTTTACACTCACCAGTCACCACTCTTTCACCAATAAGTATGAAGATTTTTGGTATCATGGTACAAGTTGTAGCTCTGCCCCGAATGGAACAATTATGTTCATCTACTCAAAGTAAACTCATTGGACATACTGCAAGCAAGAATGTATGGTGATCACACACAGAGCCAGGCTTAAAGAAGGGGAAAACTTCTTTTCCATTTCTTTCCCACTCCTTTTCTTTAGTTACTATGATTTTGGAAAAATAAATGATATGAAAATGATACACATGTATTTAATAAATATTAAATTTTATATAAATTATTCATAATTATAACGGAGTACATATTTAGAAAATTTATTTACTTAAAAAATAAACATTTTATAATTCAAGTTGATATATGCATTAACCATACATTTTTAATGTTACTCAATTATCATATATGATAACGGTGCTAACAATCATTGGAAAAGAATTTATTTTTGTTAAAAAAAATAGATGAAGAATGTTATATTGTTTGATTAAGACAAAAAAAATAATAAAATAAATAAAAATAAATGTGTCTATCTATGAGTGTGCCTGTTTATGTTTGTGTGTGATAGAATGAAAAAATATTTATTAATTTCTCATAATTCAATATATCAATTCTTTATAATTAAGTTTGCACTATTAGTAACTGTTAATAAATAAGTTTAGATCAATTTACAATATAAGGATATCAATTCCTTTTGTGTTAAATTCTTAAATCAATTTATAATCGACTAAATATAAAAAGAACAAAATGTAAACCGTATATAGCCTTTAAGATTAAACAATATATTATAAATATAAAAAAAAACATTAAAAGGAAAAACCAATGATACTCAAATATTTTATCTGAAAAAAAAATTATCTGTGATAAAAAAAAATGAAAGAAAATTATTTTTTGTCTTAAAATAGAAAATTTTCATTAATTATATTTACAAGACTAAAGAAAGAATAGAATATTTATTTTAAAAAAAGATAAATAATACTAAGATATTATCATTTTCACAATAAAATTGCCTTAATAAAATTAATAATTCTAGTACAAATACTAAAGAAAATACTAAAAAAATAATAATACTAAGATATTTTTTCACATATTTTCATCCTCACAAGTCAACCCGTCTCAACTGTACATAAGAAAATGCGCACGCATTCGTTTAACCTTCATTTTTTTTCACAACTGTACCTCTAGGCTTTATCATTTATCGTATCAAATCCCTCTCCAAAATCATTATGGTTGTGCATAATTAGATGAACATGGATGTTAAGCTGTAACAATTTTTTTGTGTGTTATGTAACACCTTTAAAATAATTTCTGTACACAGGTGCATCATTTCCATGGTTCACTAAGTGCAATATCTGTATTGGTTGGTGTTCAATCATGTATAAAATAATGTTTAATTATTAGCGCTTCACTTATAGAGGATAAGTATTGGACCTCCTCGAGAGTCTTCGAAAGTAGTTATTTTAGAACAGGTGATTGTACCCACTAAAAATGCTTCGATATTTAAGTTATTGAGTGTTCAGAACTATATGTAATTTCTCAGATTGATCTGTCTTCTGAAGATGAAAAGTAAAAATATAAATAGAAGAAGATATGTTGTTAAAGAAAATAAATTTTTTTTCTTATTTTATCCTCAGAAGATATGTTAATGAAAAAATAAAATAAAATAAAATAAAATAGAAAGTATATTTATTTTTAAGAAAGTGGACACTAAAAAGTAATATGCGAACATAATAGATGAATAAATAAACAAATGCTTTGTTTAGAAACCAAGGCTTGACTAGGGTCCCTAATCGCAACTAATTAAAATCCAGCGGCTTATGATCAAGATGAACAAAGACTACATCCATGTCGATGAGGTGTCTGGAATGGTTCCAGTTACTCAGTGAAAAAGAAGTTTGAAATTCGAGTCTTTGGTGGAGCTAAACATAACCCCACTTCCCTCGGGGATAGGACCCACGATTACTAAGCATGATTGAGCATGGTCCCACGGCTTTTTTTTTTTTTTGAATAATTCATCATACCATAATAATTTTGTTCAAGGATCAAATAACCGTTCCAAATGCATATTGACTTGCAGAACATCTGCAGTAATTCTCTCTTTAATTTTTATGCCGTGGAATGGGGCGTTGGGGGCCCCTTGAGCTTGACCTTTTATATATCGTCAATAATATCAACTCTCAACTTTTTAACTCTACCGACAACTTCATGCTATTTACAAAATTGAGTTTAGATTATCTTGATGTGATTTTATGTTAATCTTAGTTAAAATTTAATTTTAAAAGAAGTGATTCATATATATATATATATGTATACTGTTATCACTCAATATAAATTTTTCAATCAAAATTAGTCTGCTTCAGTAACATGGTTTTGCGATCTTACAGTTTGAGAAAGACATTTGAGGGATGTTTCAAACAGAAAAATATCAAACCAACCACATTAACGAGTATTAAGCATAGTTCTTTAGTTCCCAACAATGTTTATTACTTGTTTCGACCAAGGAGGCGTCTAGGGCTCTTCTCATAAGTCTAGTCTCCAAGCCAAATCATTTAAGAGTGTAAAGTATAAGTTATTCTATTAAGTCTAGGATTTGGTGTTTTATACCTATTCCTTGTGAATCTCATAATCCCGTCGGTTTCGTGATTCTTATAATGCATGCTAGGCTAAAGTTCTCATGTGTAAGTCCCCAGTAAAACTATATCGAAAATCAACCGTCTATGGGTGGTAACCCAAACGTATCTATGAGTGATAACCCAAACTCGTCCCTCGGTCCCCACAATATTCCATCTCGGTATTTCATTCGGTCAAATGTCAGCATAATCCCAGGACGGTACACTACTAAACCACCTTTACTAAACACAGATTCTAATCAAACCCATGTATTAGGTATTGGAGAAGTAAACAAAAATATCAAAGCTTAACTTTCTAATGCAATTTCCCACATTTAGGCCAAACCAAAGGCAGATTCGTACTTTCCATTTCAGGCCTCCGTTAAAAGCTTTAAGTCCATTCTAAAAGTTATGGTTCCCTCAATACGACATTATGAATTTGTAATTTGATACATCAGTATTCGGACTTCCTATTTTTTAGCAATATTTTTTTTCAGATAGATTTGCTTGCAGTAAATTTTATTTGATCCTCGCCCGACTCGACAAGCTTTGGCACTTGCATCAAACTTTTTCTAACTATACAGCAATTATAATAAACTTAGAATGAATGCACAACAAACGAAGGGCACAAAAATCTTACCACATCAATGCCCAAAATGAAGCGAGTGGCAAAAGGACATACCAAGGATGCGTTTAGCACGGTTAATATTGAGATAATGAAAACATAAATCTGGTAGAAATTGCGGGCATAAACATAAGAAAATCAACTTTTGAAATGGACAATTCTGAATGCATCACTGAGGCCGCAAACCACAGATCCTAAACCAACAAGTAGAACCATAATAACGATGACTTCACAGTTTGAATAATGGAACTATATCACACAGAAATAAAAACAAAAAAGGACGAACAATACGGGTGCAGGGCAATGTAACGAAGCATATACCCTTTTACTCAAAAAACAATTACAGTGACAACAAGATCTTCCATCATCAATAATCCTCTCCCTCCTCCTCATCTTCCGCTCCTTCAGCCCCAACCTCCTCATAATCCTTCTCAAGAGCAGCAAGATCTTCACGAGCCTCAGAGAACTCCCCTTCTTCCATACCCTCACCCACATACCAGTGCACAAAAGCCCTCTTGGCATACATCAGATCAAACTTGTGGTCAATACGAGAGAACACCTCAGCAACCGCAGTGTTGTTGCTGATCATGCAAACAGCCCGCTGCACCTTAGCAAGGTCACCCCCAGGAACCACAGAAGGAGGCTGGTAGTTGATCCCGCACTTAAATCCAGTTGGACACCTATCAGAACACCAAACACCCACTTCATTCACAATCTTGAGCATGCATAGAGATGAACATTTACAAAAACTGACTTTGAAGTAACATGCTTTATGATTCTAAAAGTAAACAGTAAACAAAATTCTTGACCAAATGAGATCTCCAACAACATGAAACCAAACATGCAGTAGTAGTGTCTTTGATTCGACATCCTAAATGTGGGTTCATATTATCAAGTGCGATGCGAGTAAGAGTAAACACAAGAGAAAGAGAGAAAACATACCAATCAACAAACTGAACAGTCCTTTTGGTCTTGATGGTGGCAACGGCAGCATTGACATCCTTGGGAACAACATCCCCACGGTACATCAAGCAGCAAGCCATGTACTTGCCATGTCTGGGATCACACTTGGCCATCATGCTAGCAGGCTCGAACACAGCATTGGTGATCTCGGGCACGGACAACTGCTCATGGTAGGCCTTGGCAGCAGAGATAACCGGCGCGTAGGAGGAAAGCATGAAATGGATGCGGGGGTAGGGGACAAGGTTGGTCTGAAACTCAGTGATGTCGACATTGATGGCACCGTCGAATCTGAGGGAGGTGGTAAGGGAGGAAATGATCTGGGAGATGAGGCGGTTGAGGTTGGTGTAGGTGGGTCTCTCGATGTCGAGGGATCTCCGGCAGATGTCGTAGATGGCTTCGTTGTCGAGGAGGACGGCAACGTCGGTGTGTTCGAGGAGGGAGTGGGTGGAGAGGACGCTGTTGTAGGGTTCCACCACGGCGGTTGAGACCTGAGGGGAAGGGTAAATGGTGAAGCCCAGTTTGGATTTTTTACCGTAATCCACGGAGAGACGCTCGAGCAGGAGGGAGCCGAGGCCGGAACCGGTGCCACCGCCGACGGCGTTGAAGACGAGGAAGCCCTGGAGGCCGGTGCAGTTGTCAGCGAGCTTGCGGACGCGATCAAGGCACAGATCTACGATCTCCTTGCCGACTGGAAATGGAAATTAGGGTTAGGGTTAGGTTATTGGAAAAAGAAAGGGGAATGTAGAGAGAGGGGGGAGGTAACCTGTGTAATGGCCTCGGGCGAAGTTGTTGGCGGCGTCTTCCTTGCCGGAGATGAGTTGCTCGGGGTGGAAGAGTTGGCGGTAGGTGCCGGCGCGGACCTCGTCGATGACGGTGGGTTCGAGATCGACAAAGACGGCGCGTGGGACGTGCTTGCCGGATCCGGTCTCGCTGAAGAAGGTGTTGAAGGCGTCGTGGGCTACACCGAAGGAGGAGTCAGATGGCATCATGCCGTCGGG